TTGGTGGTCAAACTGGTAGCTACACTTATAGCATTGATGAGAATTTTACAGCAAATATTCATTCATTAGTTAGCTTGGCCACATATTTTGTTTTACCCACCATCATGCCCCAAGTTGAACTAAAAATGTGGCCTAGCTAACTAATAAATGAATATTTGCTGTAAAATTCTCATCAATGCTATAAGTGTAGCTACCAGTTTGACCACCAATTTTGATTTCATTCCTTTAATTCATATGCTCAATCCTTTTTTGGCTACACATTTTTTCACACCAAAGGTGTTGGTGATTAGATATTGTGACTTTTTGTTAATACACACCAACAAACCACAAGTAAGAAAGTGACACTAGATAGTAACTAACATTGGTTTATGATTGCAATTCTATTATTTGGAACAGACCTATACTTTACAGAACCAACCAGATTCTTTAAAATATATGGTGGTTGTTCTTCCTTTCGAAAGCAGTGTTAATAACTTCTTTTATAGTAATGCCACGGAATCTAAATTAACAGTTTCTTGTCATCACCCGAATGAACTTGGTACAGCCATATCAAGCATCATTATTTATGGTAATTGCTTAAGCTAATATCACATAATGCTAAACATTCTTTAATTAGGAGAATTTCATAAAATTTAGCAAACTTGTGCTTAAAAGTTGGCAATGAATAATGAATAATAACTGTCCACCCATATGATTCTTTTGAAAACTTGAGCTAGAAACTGCTAATCTAGTTTGCTTGGCCTAAACAATACTTATGTATCTGTATGTGCTTTGACCCTATAGTTTTGTTGCTCCAAATCAGACATTTTTAATCTGAATGATGAAAATCTAAAGATGGTTCACTTGTACTCTTAGGTGAAGCTGTAGTAAACATTTTGAACCCATAACTCGTTAGACTTTTTGTGTAGGTTTCATAAAAATTTTGGTCATAATCGAGTGTTTTTTGTTGAATAACTTTGCACATGTGGCTTATATTTAGACCAAATTTGACACCTAATTGTAGGTTCTAAAGATCTATCAGTGCAACAAATTTGAAAAAAATCTCCAAAAGTTAAGAATGTTTTTCTATCAAATAAAGTTTTCATGCTTTTGCTGATAAAGAAAAAAAAGGAAGACATTCAAACAAAATTGGAGATTTTATATCTCGTGTATTTCTTAATGGATTGCCTTGAAATTTGGTATGTGAAGTAAGGGTCCAGTAGAGCACATCCACTGAAAATATGTGATAGTTTGGATTACCACAGCCTGAGCTATAGAAAATTGCTAAACTATCACTCCTGTTAATAACACACAGTGTGTCCTGCAGGTTGTTTTGGCTGCTCGACACACTACAGTGTGTCTTAATATGATTCCATTGCAAGCTAGAATTGTTTGCAAGTTATTTAGATTAAATTTTTTGCTTTCTCGCTATACCAAAAAAAAACTTTTTTAGTCATTCCGGTTTCACCAGCTGTTTATTTTTATTTCTTGTTTCCATATTGATATTCAGGTTTTCATTTGTAGGACCTGCTTCTTAAAATGTGCTATATTTAATTGGTTGGTACCTCACTGGTTGAAAGCACTAAGCTGATATTCCCCCAGTGGCTCAGAAGTAAGTCTGAAGTCTTATAATGCCAAAAACTGGGTTTCAATATCTGTGGTGGGCATAGCACAGATAGCTCATTGTGTAGCTTTGCATTTAACAACAAACAAAGTTGATGTAGATATTTAATGTGTTAGGCTTAATGGTGTTTTAAAAGTATTGCTAGGTCCAGTTTATAGATGGTAACTTATGTATTAGCTTTTTAATAATTTCGTAATTATTTTTATTTTATTTATTAAGTAATTTTTTGGTATCTAGTATCATTCCATTATCTGTGAACAGTTACTTTCATAAAGTTTTCCATAATTATGACATCTCTTTTAGCATAGACAGTTTGTTATTCACATAAAACAGATAAAAGTGCTTATCATCCAAAAACACTTGATAAAAAAAAAAGTTTTCTTTATTCCAGGTTGTCTCCAGAAAACCCAACACTTAATACAAAACTTGGGCTTCTGTATATGCAGGTAAACAGATATGCTTTTGTAAGCTGTTGCTTTTTTCCTCCTTGAAAGGAATCACAGTCCTTTTTTAACATGTGTATTTTGTAATAAGAAATTGTTTATGTAGAATATAAAAATGAAAAAATGCTATTTAATGTTTTTTATTGTTAAAAGTGTGTTTTCATGAAATTTTTGTGGAAAAGAGCACATGTTTCATGTGGGTTCATGTAAATTCCTAGAAACCTTGAAAGTACTTGAAATTGTCTTTTTTAAAATCAAGGCTTTGAAAACCTTAAAAAATTTACATTTTACACCTGAAATCTTGGAAGTGTTCTTGAAAATGGTAACTTGTAGTGAAAATGGACAACTGATAAATAACCAACCATTTCATGTATGAAAATATTCTCTATTTATCATTATACAGTGATTTATAAAATTTTAGTCTATAAATAACCCATGCATGCTTATATCACTTAAATGATGATTGTTAAATTGGTGATCAAGATATTGCCTGAAATACAAGCTTTTAGAAAATATTTTTGTGCCAAATAATTTTCAAGTTAAGGAAGCTCAGGGTTATAAGATATGACATTCTTGAACTTTAGGCTTTGAAATAATTAGACATTTTAATCATCCACCATAGAAATTTAGTTAAAATCAAGGACTATTAACTATAGTAATGTATAGTGTGAAGCTGAACTTTCTAGTAACAAAATATATATAAAAGCTGACTGTCTGATCATCCTTTCTAATAGTGATGTGTGAAAACTAAGATGAAAGAAAGTTCAGTTGTACAACCAGTGTTAAGTAGGCACAACAGAAATTCAATGGTACCAGTTTTTATTTTTCTATTATTAGTTTTATTTAGGGTTTTTTCAGGTGTTTAAAACCTGGAAAGTCATGAAAAATGCATAATTATATATACATGCCTGAAATTCCCAGAAAAGGTGTAATTTATATTCCTTATGGAAAAGTCATGGAAAATAATTTTAACCATTTTCATACCAAACTATCACTTCACGTTTGGCAGTGCTTGGACATGTTCCTTTGTTTGTTTCAAGTTTCATGTTCAACTTTAGTATACTCGCAAAGTGATTTTCATTTAACTTACTTCCAAGTTTATTAAGACTGTTTCTTCACTCTAAATTTAATCCCAGTTTATTACAGTTGCTTTACTATTAATAATTTCAACTTTGGTTGACTCTTCTTGATTCTGAATTCTGAAGTTCATGCTACCACTTCAGGGGTCACACCTGCTACTATCGCTATTTCACCGGACTTGGGTGTGGGTGACCTGGTGGGAGATTTATCAGCATTTATTCACAGGGACCTTGAATTTTACATGGATCAACCTCTATCTCTGGACCTTGCCCCTCTTCCTTCCAAACATGCTGAGCCTGTTCAGGCTGATGAGGACTTGGATCACCTGTTTCCATCTCCTGATTCTCACGCCCCTCTTGAGTAGTCAGTTAGGCCTACTATGGTCTTTTTGGATTTTGTTTTTCAGGTATGTGATGTTCTATCCCTTGTCCTTATTTCCTTTTCCTATGAACCGCATCCTTCCTTCCTACATGACCAATAATTTCCCCCCTCCTCAGATATTTGGATACATGCTGACCAATTTGCCTCACAATTTAGTGATGGGATTAGCAATATGGCACCTATTACAGTTTCATGTTATTCTCCTTCCCAACCCTTACCTGTCTTTCCTTCTCTAGGTGCCTCATCTCATCATTTTCTTTGGTGATACATGTCATGTTGCCAACAGTATCGGTGACTATCCGGTAGGTTCTGGTCTAATGGTAGCTCAACTTCCCTATTTTCTTCATCAGTGGCATCCTTTTGTCTAAAATCATTGGATTCTTCAAGTTTTATCAAAAGGATTTGGGATCCTGTTTCTTTTCCCATCTCTCATGTCCCCTATACCAGCATCTATTGGAAGTGGTTCAGGACCTACTATCTCAGCAGACCATCATACTTGTTCTACATACTTCACCAGGTTTATATTCCAGACTCTTTGTTGTTCACAAGAAAACTGAGGACTGGAGGACTGTCGTTGACCTGTCCAGCCTCAATCGATTCGTTCATCTGCTTCATTTTACCATGGAGTCATTTCTCACCCTGAGGTGGGTGTTTTCTCAGGGCTTATGGATGACCAAAATGGATGTTGCCAATGCTTATCTACATATCTCTATCTCAACATGCTCTTGTCCACATCTTCAGTTTCTCCATCACAGGGTGGTTTACCAATTTTGTGCCCTAGCCTTTGGGCTTGCTTCTGCCTCTTATGTTTTCTGTCAGGTTGTTATAGCTTTTGCTCACCATATTTATGCTCTGGGGCTGCAATTCCACCATTATATGGATGACTGGCTTCTTCTGGCTCATTCCAAACTGGAGTCGGCCAGCCATACTTGTCAGCTCCTTCACTTGCTCAGGTGGGCTGGTTAATCACATTTGAAAAGTCCATCCTCTGTACTACTCAATATCTTGCCCATTTAGGTGTCCTTTCTGACACTCATCTCAGTCAGATCCAACCTTCTCCTCTATGACTTCTTTCCATGGAATTGTTAATTTGCCACACCCTTTCAGCTCCCTTACTTTCTGTTTGTGAGGTTCTGTTTCTTTTGGAGATGTGGTCTTCAATGATGTCACTGTTCCCCCTTGGTTGTGTACATATGCGATCCCTTCAGTGGGTTCTTCACAATCAATGGAACCTTGCTCGGGAACCCTTACCAGCTCCCATTACCATTCCTCATACCCTGTTGGATGATCTGTTTTGGTGGTTGGACAAGGCCCATATGTAGGCTGGATTTGCATCTGTTCATGGATGCGTCCCTTCAGGGCTGGGGTGCATGGGTCAATCACCAAGAGGCTTTGGATTATTGGTCTGTTGATGAGCAGTCTTTGCATATCAATGTCCTCTAGCTTCTCACGGTCCGTTGGGTTTTGAATCACCTCCTTCATCTTGCCAGACATTGTCTGGTGATGATTCATCCCAACAATTCTACAGTGGTAGCACATATCAATCACCAAGGGTGCACCTGGTCAAAATATTTGTTTTTGTACATTAGATCTCCTATATTGGGCCCACATACACCAAATTAATCTCATTGTGTGTCACATTCTGGGTGCTTTCAATCTTGTAGCAGATCATCTTTCCCGCCCCAACAAAATTTATCTTACAGAGTGGTCTTTAGATCCCCTCGTATTCCAGGAACTTTGCAATCTACAGTCCTCACTGACAAATTACCCCTCTTTTGGTTCCCTGTACATCATCCTTGGGCTCTGGCAGTTGATGCCTTCAGCTAGGATTGGTCCCACAAATTCCTTTATATTTATCGTCCTACCCGATTACTTCATTGGGTGGTCTCTCTCATCCATACCACTCCGCGTCGAGTCCTTCTGATCGCTTGCTATTGGCCAGCTACACCGTTGTTTCCATGATTACACCAACTGCAACTTTTCCCTCCAGTACACCTTCCCTTGTCTCCCTCCCTTTTTCGCCAATCTCGATCACCGGTCCTACATCCAGCCATTCATGTCCTTCATCTTCATGCCTAGCTTTTATCCGATACTTGGTGAGGAGATCAGTGGCTTGAGTGGCTTTCCTTTTGGCTCATTCCATTACATTCTTCTTCAGTGGAGATGTATCAGTGCAAATGGAAGGTGTTCCATAGTTGGTCCGCTACTTGGGGATTCCCTGCTGACCGACCTACTGTGGCTCGTGTGGCTGAGTTTCTCACATGGCTTTTCGACCAGGGGTCTTAGGTCTCAGGCTGACTTATCCCATACCTTTTGTTTTTCCTGATACCATTATATAAGGTCATTGTCATGAAAACTACATTTTGAAATTAGGTTGCTACTCTGTAGCTGTAAATGTATCAGTATCATATGTTTCAGTAATTTGTGATACTATGCTATTATTCTAGTTAAAACAAGAAACTCCACAAAGGATAAAAAAAATTGTAGTCTTTATTTTAATGCATAGTCTGTTTAATTTGTTTTAGATTTTTTGTGTGGTTTATTTGTACTATGCTGCTTTCAAAAGTCCAAATTTTCTCGACCTGGAAACTTTTGAGAAAGTCATGGAATTTCCTGTAATGGAAAGTGTACAAACCTTGTTTATTTTAACCAAAAGTTTGTAACCAAACAGCTTGTATTTGAAATCGTTGTGGTGGTTTAAAATTTTGTTTAAATTAGTTGTTAATACTGTTTATATAAATATAATACCCCATAGGGAAAATTCAAAATCCAAAATCATTTTGTTTATTTAATACTGTGTTATTTTTATTTATCAGAATTATAATAAACATGTAAATGTGTGTTCAGTATTTATTCACATACAGTGCTTCTGGTTATGATGTGGGTTTTGAGGGAGGCATGGTGACCCACATTATAAGATCTCCTGCAGTATAAACCAAGGAAATGATTGTATTACCCAATACAGTATGTACATACAACTTTTTAAATTTTATTTAATTGCTACAAACAACAAAAATTGTATTGGCATCAGTATGTAGTAAGTACATGGAAATTATTTGGTTGAGTTATTTCTTTAAAAAGTCAGTAATTTTTTGTTTTTTACTAGAGATAATTTTTTGTGCGAGATAAGTTTTTTCAGAGATGCTAACTGCAAAAGTTTCACTGGCTCAACATCCTTGTGCCTCTAACCACATTATCACAGTTTCTTAGCCACTTAGTGCCATCCATCAGTGGCACAAAACTTGCCTTCTAGTTTTAGGTCATGGAAAAATTTCTCGGTATTCAATTTCAGAGCAGGTCCTGACATTGGTGAATATAAACTACGTTTCTGAATGAACCATGTGTATAAAAAGTCACCTACTGTCTTGTTCTTGCACAGTCTTGTCTTCTTCCTTTCCAGTCGTGGAGTTTCATCCAAATTGTCAAAAAAGACATGTAGCCTTTTTTTCCTTTTGCTGTGCATTTACATGTCGTACCATCTGAGATACCCAACTCTCTTTTAATTTGTGCTTTTGAAACCCCACTTTTTTACTCTTTCAATAATTGTTAGTTTTCTTTAATGGTGTACAACTTTCTCTTATTTATGTTCACCATACCCATAATAATAATAAAAAAATACAAGAGAATTCAACATTTGTAAGCCTCTCACAGTAATCCAATAATCACAAGACTAAAGACTGAACTAGAGTGGAGAAAGACATAAAGTGGGAGGTTCCTTGCTGGGCGAGTCCAATGTAGAATGTAGGGGGAGAAAGAATGACCCATGGTATATCTGAATCCACAGAATGAGCAATGGTGTTATAACTGGGGAGCACTGTGCTACTATCTAGGCTTACAATTTATGTATAAGATGTTGCATAATGTAATGTCAGTCTGCAAAGCTCTGTTCCTCAACTGTTTTAGAAACACCTTGCTGATTATATCATATTTTAATAAAATATGTCTGCTAAAATATAGTCTGATTGTATACAGAGTTGATATATAGCTACTTATGTTTTTTACTGTTAATGTAGTGTTATGGTAAACTTATTTATTGAGTGTTCACATACAGTTGTTCTTGCCATGTAGCAATAAATATTACCTTCCTCTGCTAATGTAACATGAAAAAAGTATGAATTGAAGTCTATATGTTCTCAAAAGAGAAGTCACAATATAGTATATTTATGTAATTGAAGATTGTTACAAACACTGTAACAAAATAAAGTACATATGCATCATTAGTTTTCCACTCCTAACATTTTAGTATATTTAGCCTGTAGCGATAATAAATAATTCAATGTGAATTTTTCCTATAAGAGATCTACATGTATGTATATATACATTAACACATTTTTACATATGGGAATTGCTCTATCTCATATTTTCTTAACTCGCAAATTACTGAATTTTGTTATACTCTTCTACATCATTACATAGACTAATTTTATATTTTTGCCTGTTACAACAATCATTATAATAAATTAATAAAAGAAAGGAATGAAATCACTCAGTAATTATTAACAGTAATTGTAAAATTTATGGCATATTTATTTACATTGTTTTATGTGATTCATATGTTGTTATGAACATCATAACCAACAAAGTCAAGGACCCACAAGCAATTTGATGCATTAATAGTTTTAGAAAAAAAGAGCTTTTAAAATGTCTATGGGGTACTCTTCAATAACTCTAGGCTTATTTTACTCTATCAGCCTAAACTTCCCATTTTGTACTGTAACATTCATACAATAAAAATAGAAATGAAAGGGAAACTTAAAAAGAGTGCCTCTAATCTTACCTCTTCTCACAAAAAACTTTCTCAACTTGTACTGCTCTCTACTGCCACAAATATTTGCTTGCCACTAGCCTTGCTACTCCCACTTATTACTGCATACTATCATGCAAATGATTATGCAGCAATCCTCCATCAATAGAAGTGTGACACCTCTCCTATCGTAACTTGTGCCCTCTCTAATCATGCACATGTTAATCACTTCTTGATTGGCAGTCCTACTGATTAGATGTGTTTTTCATTCGTGGTTTAATTAACCTATCCACGCATTTTTACTTTTGTGAATTTCTACTTCAGCTAATTTATTTATTAGGTTTTCGTTCTGTTTCTTGGAGTGTTATGATTTATTTTATTTTATCTTCTCTTTCAATTTTGGAAGTTATGCACTCACAGTTTAGGGTGGTCACAACTACGACTGCTGTTACAGCGGAAGCAGAATTACTTCCCAAGTCCAATTGGTTGACACTACATTTCTTGGCCCATGAAGTGACAGCTCTGGTGTGTTGGCAGTTGACCACTTCCATGCTACAATAAGAACACACTGATGATTGTCCTAACAAGTTTTTCTGTTATCTTTTAGTTTGGAATTTGGACAGCCTTTCTCTCCCTTCCTGAATATGCCTTATGGTTATGTGTCATTATTCAGGTATGTTATGTTCTCCTTTGCTTCGTTGGGGCTGTTCGAGGTTATATGGCACGTACTGCTCCCTTCCATTGTTCTTGAGTCCATTTGTTTTTTTCAGTGAAATCCTTACCTCTCCCATGGAGGCCTGTCCTCCTGAATGTGCACAATACCACTCAGTTTGAGAGTAGGGTGGTGGTATTCTGCAGGTGTCAATGGTGTGACACTCTTCGTACCATGCACCAGATGTACAATTCCAGATGCTTCTAGGTGTTGGATGTAGCACTCTGTCACATATATATATATTGCAGTTTGCCCCTCTGTCTGAGACACTCTCCTTCCTACTATCCTCTGGCTGTCAGTTCCTGGGAATCAGGTGTCAGTTGTAGACGGTCCAGCCATGTAAGTCCTCACATGTCTTTGACTGGTACCCTCCTTCTACTGTGGACTGGATGATAAGTTCCCAATGCTGCCAGGTTTTGGACTGGAGATGCAACCCCAAACTTGTGGTCTCTTATCCTACTATGTGCTGAATGTCGGTTCTCTGGGTTTTTGTGTTGGTTGTAGATGGACAAGACACATAACTTCCCACTTGTATAAGGCTGGGTACCCTCCTCCTACCACAGATTGGATGAAAAACTTTCCATTGCTGTCAGGTTTTGGACAGTAGATGAACACCCACCTGGGCTCTCCTCCATCCTACCATCTGACAGATGTCAGTTCCCAGTGGATCTGGTGTTGGTTGTGTTGAAGATGCGGAGACAGATTCTTGGTACAGGAGCTCCTCTTCCTTGCTGGTACCCATTTTTGAGGTGAAATGTAGAGGATCCTCTCCCTACCACAGACCTGATGTACAATTCCAGGTGCTGCAAGGTGTTGGTTGAGATCAACCTCCAATTTACGATTTGTTGTGCCCTAGCCACTCTATACCAGGGGGTCCCATTATTTTTGTATTTTTTATGGGAGCCCTCCAACTTCTTGCCCTTTACATTTTGGTGACACATTATTATAGGGTGGAGAGTATACCTGGCTCAGAAGTGGTGTGGTCTTCCACTGGTGTTTTGTTTTTAATACCTCATCACACCTCATGGTCTTCCTTTGAGTGCTTTGAGGCCATCTTTTCACCAGCCCTCCACCAGTTGAATGTGGGATGCTAGCTTTTTGTGAGAAATTGTATCGGAAGTTAACATTTTCCTAAACTGAAAATGTATTTCCGATAGATACTTACCTTCTCTCACATTTCCCACCCATCCTCCCCATTTTCGGAGTGATTTGTTTGGTTAGTTATGACCAATCTCAAAGTGATTAACATGTGCATGATTACAGAGTGTGCTAGTTATGATATGGGTTGTGGCGAGCAAAAATCTATGTCTATTGAGGGCAATACAAGTCGAGAAAGGTTTTTATGAGGGAGGTAAGTATCTGTTGGAAATACATTTTCAGTTTAGGAAAATGTTAACATTTATAACTCAGTTCATCTGGTTTTTGCCAGAAGCTGTCTGTTTCTTCTATGACTTAAGATAACTGCAAGATTGCACAATAACAGTGTTTTATAAATAGGTATCAATATGGCCGTTGTTTTTCAGTAAAAAAGCATGAAAAAGAAAGGAGGAAATTACAAGGGATATACATGTACTAACTGATAAATAACTTTTGTATTATATAGTTAATATTTGACATCTGGCCAGTTTATCAGAATTCTTCATTATATCGGTACATCTGAAATTAATATTGATTTTGGTATTAGGTGAAAAAAGTATTTATTGTCCCAGTTCCATGAAATCTTATTGTTGGTCCTCAAAGTGTTATAAAAAAGTCCTTGAATTTCTTATTTTGTTCAGCGAATAAACTTTGATATATTTTTATATCTATTTTACAGGGTGCATATGCATCCTTAAAAGTCCTTGAAATTGAGAATGGAATTTCAAGGGCTTGAAAAAGGGCCTTTTTTTTGCAAAAGTACTTGAAAATATGATAATAGCAGAATATATCGATATATCTGACTTTAAAGCATGTTGTGGAGTTGAGTGCAATAAGTAAAGTTTTTCATTTCTTTTTAGTCTACATTCATATGTTTAACAAATAAATATGAATTTTATTAAATTTCAGTGGAATCTGAATGATTTTGATGTAGGTTTAAGCTTCCAAAAAGTGTTTGAAAAATATTCTGAAAGTGCTTAGAAAGTCCTTGAAATTGATATGAGCAATTCAATATGAACCATACTTTTAGCTACAAAACTAGAACTCATTTCAATTTTGTAAATGTAGTTTTAAAATTATTCTTCATGAACTTTAAAATTAATTATAAACTGTTTAAAGAGTGTAAAAGGATTGATATATTTCAGTATTTGTTGTGGAATTCAGCTTTAGCTTTGTTATCTGTAAAAGACTTAAAACCAACAGCAACTTAAGAAATAAGGTCTTTTATGGATATGGTTTATCAAAATTGAATATATTAAAAGAATTTTTAGACTTTTAACATTTTTCAAAACTTAACAGAGTTATATGATTTAGTAGCCCAAGAAGTATTTTATTTTCATTGCTAAGTAAGTGAGGTTGACACCAGATGCATATAAATAATTTTTTCTTTGTACTTTTATGATTTTTCAGTGTGGAATGCATCAGAAGGCTTTTGAAAAGTTGGGAACTGCATTAGCTTTTGATTCCTACTGTGTGCCAGCAATCTTAGCAGCTGGAAGTATCATGCAGACACACGGCGATTATGATGTAGCTTTGTCTAAGTATCGTGTTGCTGCATCTGTTACACCCAAAAGTCCATCTTTGTGGAACAATATAGGAATGTGTTTTTTTGGAAAAAAGAAATATGTAGCAGTAAGTTTTCGTGTTAGAAGTTGTATATAAATACTCTGTTTACAATTAAGTAATAGTAATATCAGGATAAAACTTGCATAACCCAAGCCTAAGTTCTTGTAGTATGATAATGTTAATATGATTTAAAATTTAAGGTAAACTTGTTATAGAATTTATATGAAACCATTATGTGAGTTTTATGAAAAATTTTCACTCATAATCTTTTCAATAATTTTTTCTGAACTATAATAGAAAAAACGTGTATAGATGTTAAAATTCACAAATATATATTAATCCAAAGTTTTATTCCCAGTAAAACTTTGGATTTTAATGTGTATGTCTTTGTAATATCATACTATACTAATCATGTGACTAATCACATACATATTAAACTAGTGATTTCTGATGTACAGAATCACATAAGGTGCTATATGTTTATGTATTATAGTTTTATAAAATGATCCCTGGTAATTGATTGGTTTTTACATATATATATTGTACTGATTTTGCATGAAGTAGTACACAGACACACACACAAACACTTGTATATGTATATATATACATGAAAGTATACAACTGTAATGCAGTTTAGGATATTTGTAGGCCATCAGTTGTCTGAAGAGAGCCAACTATCTAGCACCATTTGATTGGCGAATCCTTCAAAACCTGGGATTAGTTCATCTTACCATGCAACAGTATGCTTCAGCTTTCCACTTCTTGAGTGCTGCTATTAATGTTAACCCACGGTCAGGAACTCTCTTTATGCTACTGGCATGTAAGAACACAGCTTTTCTATTATTTTGTTGATATATGTAGAATTATGTTGTGACTAATAATTTAATGTTTATCTATTATAACAAACACAATGTAAATTACATTTATTTTTGTAAATAGAGCACATGAATATAAGGAATTTTAGAATTTTGTTCTTAATAATTGATGTCTGCATCTTGGATTTGTTTTTTAAACATATTTTCATATTCAGTTGAACCTATAATGAAATTTTTTACTGCCTCAATATTTAAGTAACTTTATAGTCTAAAATGTATTGCATTCTGGGGCATAATGTGGCCTTGTTGTTAAGGGTGCCAAAATTTTACTCTGAACTTTTATGGCTATTTCCGTTCATTGCAAAAATGTGTTTCACAGCTTAGGATCATGTGTACTATAAGAGTGATGGTCAAGTCCCACTATATATTAGGATATTTGTAGGCCATAGGCCTTATATTCAGACAAGTAGCCCAAGAGTTGGTGATAGGTGGTGTTGACTAGCTGCCTTTCTAGTCTATCACTGCTAAATTAGGGATAGCCATTACGTAGCTTTGTGTGAAATTCAAACCAAACTGTTATGTTTTTTATATATAATTTACTTGTAAACAGTATTTTGTACATGAATTGATCTACATGAAAGTGTCTGTTTCTTACACTCTTTAGAATATGCAGACTTTCTGATCTCAGATTTTTCCTTATGAATTATTTTATTGTTATTATATTGTTTTAATTTCCAGTGGCACTAAAGAATTTAAAAGACCCAGACAATGCTCGTCAGGCTTTTGATCAAGCTATACAGTTAGATAAGTAAGTGTATGTGTGTAAGTTAAGTAAAATTACTAAGGTCTAACATTTGCAATAAGAATTTGTTTCTTCACAGCAAGAAGATTATTTTTTTTACTGAAATGGAAATATTCATTATCTTTTGTGATTTACCTGTATCTTTCTGTCCACATCCAGTTTACTAAAAGAATGCCATTTTAATTTATTTAATTAATTTTCTTATTTTCTTTATTTACAATTACATAGTACTTTTCTCTTCGAAACAAACTTTTTTGCCATTATTTGTAATGATATCTAATACAACTTAAACATCTTAAGAAAATTTTGCAACACCTATGAAAATATATTCATTTGTAAAAAGAATGAAAATAATTTCAGGTATGTAGTGACTTACTGTTTTAAGTACAGAGTTGCATGATATTCACATTAGAAATGTAAGTTTTTCTTAATTGAGTACATTATTTTTCAAATGTAATCATTCAGACAGTTGATTTATGTCTTAAATTTAAAATAGTTGAATCTTATTTATTTGACTGAAATTTTTTTGTTGTGTCAGTGAATTTGACTTGACAAAAAATTTAATTTTGTTTGGAAAGAACAAAACCCATGCATTTTAGTGAATGCGTACAAAACTTAAAGTACATTGTTTAACACTTACTCTAATACACACAATTTATTAGATTGAAGATTATTTTTTGTAAATATCATATATATAAAACTATAGTGGTTCATAATAGGGTTTGCCTCAATGGCTAAGGCTGCTGAGATATTCATAATAGCAAAATAGTTGATTTTCCAATTGTTAGACAAAATTCAGCCATTTGTTCTTCATATTACTATTTATATTATTCTTGTTTCATAAGCCTACAGAAAAAACTGCTATAAATATTTTATTCAAACCTACTTAAAAACTCCTGCACAGGTCATAAGACTATTTTTATGTTGATTTGTGAAAGAGAAGGAGAGATTTATCATTTTTTTCATCGAAGCCACTAAAGTACCGAAGCCTACATAAAAAAACAGCTAGATATACTACACCAAAATCTATGCACAGCTACTAAACAAACTCCTGTAAAAGTTGTAGGACCATTTTAAAGTTGATTTTTGAAATGAAAAATTTGCACCCTCTAAAGTTCTTCTTTGCTATAAACATAAGCTCTTCAAGCATCACAGAAATTTAGAAGCCATTTATACACTATTATAATAGTCATAAGTGCTATGTTTGTACTAGTTGAAAATGGTTTGTTTTATTAGAGTAAACAGTGTGTATATTTATAACAGTGTCTCCAGCCTTATTATTATTGGTTATGGTTTTACAAGACGCTACAGAAAAAAGGCTACAAATATTTTACCAAAACCTGGACAGTAGTAATGAATGCAGTATTAAGAACGTTGTAGGGTAGTTTTAAAATTAATTTAAGCACTTTAATTATTTTCACCATGAAGAATTTCTATAAGTCCTTCAATTTCTGCCATTGAAAAAATCTGGTTTTATTAATACACATTAACTGGAAAATAATTTATGCAATTTATAATGCATTAATTGGAAACTGCACCATTGAGGATTCATCATTTCTCGAGTTTGTTGTTGTACTTTGTCTCTACGTGGTTTTCTGTGACTATTTCAGTGAGTTTTGTAACAGTAGTCAATTACCTTAGTAGATTTCTCTACTCTTGTGAGTGGTGATGTATTCTACTGACTTTTGTACTTTGCTTGTTAAATGCATGTTTACATAAAACCTCCTAGCTCAGTAAATAATGATTGGATGGAAAAACAAAAAAGCCAGTGCAGCAGTAAACTGTTGAAAAACATGTAACATTCAATTGAATGCATATGCACATATGAAGCTTAAATTTATTTTGCATAAATGGTCATAAAAAACTTAAGAAACAAGATAATTAAAAATTGTTAATTTATAAAGTGAAATAAGGATCATAAAAAAAGTACAGAAACAAGTTGAATCAAAATGCAAAGATTATATTTTCAAGCCTACAAGTAGGACTCTTTAAAAAAAGTAAAC